TTCCCCTTCAACCTGCTGCCTCTCCTTCAGTTTATTCTTGTCCGCCGCCAAATCTTTCATAAAGTGATGCTTTAGATTTTATTGCTTACCGGCCTTTTTGCCATTTCGTACCACACCGAGTGGGCATCAGCTATCAGCTTGGTTCTAAGCAATCCCCTTCGAAATACAGAGCCATCGATAGCCTTTTCAGCGGGTAGTTGCTTTTGGCATAAGCGTTATGTGAATGGAAAGCGTTTCCATCTTTGATCTTGATTTTTACAGCGGTCCAGCAGGAATCTTTTACGAAATTTTAGTCGGTTCACAAAATGAAATTTTCAGTTTCATATGTCTCTCGGGCGCATTTCAACATTTTCATGAATTTCCTGCTACAGCTAAGTAGTTGCCGTAGCGCTCACCGAACTTTTTGTGGGCGCAACCGCAACTACTTAGCATAATAGGCTACGCAATGCTTTCGAACTCCCGCGACCTTCATCCTCAGCTCCAAAATTGGGATGATTTGAAAACGGAAAGCGAAAAAAGCAGCTGGGGCCAGGTGAAGCCGTAGTTTTAGTAACTTCTAGGGTTTATTAACATGTTGCGTTTGTGCTTTTTTTATAGTGAGTGCACTGGACATATAAATGTTGACAAAAAATACTGATTTAAAGTGAACAGCCCATATAGCAGCAGTTTAAGTGCGTTTGTTTAACGCGAGTTATACCAGTTAGTTCGAGAGAAAGATACTATATTTCCGTTTATCATGAAATACGAAGGAAAAACCTAGGCTGCGACTCACCAGGCTTACTGGTGCGATCATGCATTTTGGTACTAAACATGAAACAGTAGATCGTTAACCATATGAATGGTCGTTGCTTTACATTTAACTTGTGCACTCATTACCGTAAATTTTTGGATGAGCGAAAATGAATAATTCTGGTGACCAGTCATGCATTGGAAATGAACTAGCTATTCTACTGTCCAGCTTAGTAATTTCCCCGTCGAAAATTTCCAGTACTCGTGTGTGAGAACGAAGAGTGCTTAGAAGTTGAATCTGAAATCTTTAAATTGTACGTGGGCAGAGAACATCTCTTTAAAATTTCAGCTTTCTAACTATTCTGGCTCTCGAGTTAGTATTTTCCGGCCAAAAATTTCATGTGGCCGTACGTGAAAACCGAACATGCTTAGGAGCTGAATTTGAAATCATTAAATTGCATGTGAATAAGGCTACGGCCATCACATAATGCCGTGCTCACTCGCAAGAAAATCGTCTACTTTTGTCATCTATAAGCTAATTGCTGCGGGCATCGTAGACTTAATCTGGCACGCTCTATGTGCCCGAACTGATAATATTTGAAGGCGTTAGTCTTATTCTGTCATTTGCGAGCGTTTTCATGAAGCAGCTTTTATTCCTCATTGAGAAACTAGTTTTGTGACAGTACGCAAAACTTATCGTCATGCTCCCTCCTCTTTCTGTCAAAAGATCACTCGGCTTGCGTTTTTTTTTTT